ATGTCATGGACTGGTAACATTAAGTACTGTTATAGATAATTAACGCGGGCTCGTAAAGAGCCAGAACGTGCTCATAACGTATATGTTTCATATTTTAGTTGTAATGTATTTGTGTGATCGTCGAAGTAAAACTTATCAATCTGTAGTCTGTTTCTTCCTTTAATCATAATCGAACCCCGCTATTCAAAACACTTACAAGGTATGATGATGAGACTTCAGAAATACGACTATGAGGTGCGATATGAATGTGGAAAGAACATGCACCTACCTGACACCCTTTCCAGAGCCCACCTCCCAAGCACTGCACACCCGGCCGCAGCAGAATTTGAGAACATTAATGCCGCTGCATTTCTTCTAGTATCCACATCACGAAAAGAGGAATTCGTATTCCTAAGAATGTTGATTAGTGATTGACATTGACCAAACAAAAGACTCAAACATGAAACATCAGCCATTGCATAATGTTGGTGGATAGGCAGTTTGTAAAGAGCGATTGTTTTTAAATATTTTGGTGAAGACTTTTCTGTCAATACATTCAGACATTACATACTGAAACCATTGTGAAAACAGAGATTCAAACGAACTACTTATATAGGTTCAAAGCCGTTATGCTCGTTAGCAATACTGAACTAAAAGGCGTAGTAATTTTGCCAGCAAACGTCCATTAAGCATTTGTGACTTTGATCCTATTCTAATATGGGGATTGTAATTTGGCAATATAGAGCACAAATGCATGCATATTGTGATCATAAAAAAACTTAATTGCGCTATGTTGATTCCATTGCTATTAAGATTATCAAATGATATCGAGGAGAATCCTGGCCCTACAATATACGATGTTGTAGATTCAACCAAAACAGTATGCGCTGATTTCCATCAGGGTGATACAAAAATATTCCATCGAAATGCTGGTAAATAATGTGTTCCCATTTCCTTGGTTGCAATAAAACATAATAAATGCAAGAGAACAGATCTCTGGGATTCATAATTTTTTAATACAATTTTGTATGCAGGCGATAATTTGTATGGTTTTATTAGCAGGTCTGTTAATGAAACGTATTTATTATTGACTGATTTGCCAGAAATAGTATCAATTTTGGATCAAACATTTTCTTTAGATTACAGCGAGTCATTAACAGGCGACTTATTTTTGACAGATAGTAATCTCCCGTATTATTCTTTAGAAAATGGTTTTGATTCTCTAATGCTAAAATTTTTTATTTAGTCTAGGACCTGTAAAGGAGTTTGTATGCATTTCATTTAGGACAGATTATCTCAAATGTTTTAGGGTAAAATGACCATGGCGGTCAACATGGCATACGTGCCAAAATGTGAATCCGGGACGAAAGTCCTGAAAATGACCACACCCAGAAACGGCAGAGTCAACGTAGCTCTAAATCCTAAATTATCCACGCTACAGTCTTTCTGAATTGTTTATATGCTTCAGAATGGTTGCTTTTAGGGGTGGTAAAAAAATGCTTATTTTAATATATTTATTATAAATTTCCTAGGAGATAACAATGTTTTGTTGCGATACGACATATTTCATTTCACTTACCCCCCGCCATAACATCATTTCAGCCATATTTTGCAAATTTGATTGCCGTTTTTCGCCGTCCGTCGCAAGCACATCCAAATACTGTACTTTAGCACGATTCTAGTGGACTAAAGAATTATTCAACCAATTTTCGATGGGTTTTGAAGTAGTGCCATGTAATATGTTTTCATTTTTGTGTCCCTTGACATTTCATCAATTATGTCGCAATTGCCATGTCTTGTCGCCTTTCTGCACGATAAATGCAAGTTCTTGATCCCCAGCTGTATTTTTTTTTCACAGCATCGATAAATCATTGATAGTACAATAGCAGCTATCCAAAATTTAAAAGCATTTGTCCCGCTTGAAAGTAAAAAACCACCCCTCGTTTATCGGGGATGAAATTCAAATGTGAAAGATTCAAAATAATTTGAGTCTCGCGCAAACTCCGGGACGAGCCCTCGTGGACAGCATTCCGGGGGGACGAAAATTCAAGCATACATTTCTTCACAACCACAATCAGTCAACAACCCGAGTAAAATTTGTCCGTTTTTGCTGTTAATATTTCTCATAACAAAATTAACAAGTCTACGCATTTAAATTGCATTTTCTTGCTTTCACAAAGCTAAAAAAATAAACCAGAAATGTATTCGTGAAAATAACCCCCCCCCCCTGCAATGTTGCCCATGAGCATTTGTTGTGGAGTTTGCGCGAGACTTAAAAATTATTTTGAATCTTTTGCATTTGAATTTCATCCCCGATAAACGAGGGGTGGTTTTTTACTTTCAAGTGGGACAAATGCTTTTAAATTTTGGATAGCTGCTATTGTACTATCAATTATTTATCGATGCTGTGAAAAAAATACAGCTGGGGATCAAGACTGGCATTTATTGTGCAGAAAGGCGACGAGACATGGCAATGGCGACACAAAAATGAAAACACATTACATGGCACTACTTCAAAACCCATCGAAAATTGGTTGAATAATTCTTTAGTACACTAGAATCGTGCTAAAGTACAGTATTTGGATGGTGCTTGCGACGGACAGCGAAAAACGGCAATCAAATTTGTTAAAATCGTGTTATGGTGGGGGGTAAGTGAAATGAAATATGTCGTATCGCAACAAAACATTGTTATTTCCTGGGAAATTTATAATAAATATATTAAAATAAGCATGTTTTTTCATCATATGGCAAAAATTTTTAGAAGATAGGGAAAATTAGACTTTGCCAGGTGAATCTGTAATTTTATGAATAATTAGCAGTTGACCTGGAATAGTAAACATTCATTTTCTTGTAAAATATGAAACAGGCTAATTTCACTCTCCAGTGACCACCCCTAAAAGCAACCATTCTGAAGCATATAAACAATTCAGAAAGACTGTAGCTTGGATAATTCAGGATTTAGAGCTATGTTGACTCTGCCGTTTCTGGGTGTGGTCATTTTCAGGACTTTCGTCCCGGATTCACATTTTGGCACATATGCCATGTTGACCGCCATGGTCATTTTACCCTAAAACATTTGAGATAATCTGTCCTAAATGAAATGCATACAAACTCCTTTACAGGTCCTAGACTAATTCTCATTCAAGAGATTTGCAAGGTATACCACACACATCTGGTACATGTGTGCTAATATCTGTGCAAACCATTAGTGATTTGGTATTCTATTTTCAAAACACTGTCTGTCAATTAAAGCCATTACCTTTCAAGATTAAAGGCGTTAGTATTGGCCTGGTACCACAGAGCTCCGACAGCAGTGCGAAGGAACGTATGAAACGCAAGCGCTCAAATGATACAGAAAAATATTTCAGATTGGAAAGTGCAAGAAAGTACAAAAAAGATAAATTGACAGTAGAAACAGAAAATGAAAAAATTATTCGACTTGAAAAAGATAAGATTTATCACAAAAACAAACGTTCAAACCAGAACGTAAGAGTCCACTACTTTTCTTGAAAATGAATTCGAAACACACCAGGAAATCATGTCTGGGGAACAAATTAAGAGTTTCAAAGACTCGCAAAACAAAGTCATCGATCAGAAGATTTTGATTAAAAGAATTTGATACAAACAATGGTTTCATTCATGAACAAAGTTGGGCAAAATCCAACATGAAAAATATCATAAATCTATCCAATTTGTGGTTAGTCAATGCACAATTTGCAGAGAGGCGTGGCCTTTAAAGTCTAAACCAAAGTCAGGAAAGAAATAGGGGGTCTCAAGGTTTCCGACGCCATTAGCCAGGGGGTGCAAAAACATTGGGGCAAGCGCGCGACCAGAGCGATTTCCCATACAAATCTATAATGAGTGAGCAAAATTTACATTTGCGCATTTTGCTTGATTTTTGCAAAACGACTAAAAAGTTAGCCAATTTAATAATTGCTGATCGATTATTGGGTTTTTGTTGATATGTGGCTGGAACTTCATGTGAATCAGAGACCGGGAAGTGTTAAAATATTGCGATTTTGTCAATGTGCTTATGGGAGCTGTTTACGCGATTGGATCTTCACAGACAACCTCCCTTTACTTGATTTTTGTCGTGGTAAGTGCTAAAATGAAGAAATTTTCAGCACAACAAGAAAACAGGAAAACACATATGGAGATAATGTGTAACTTGATAGCCTGTGCCAGCTGTGCGGTTGACAATAACTGTTGTATTGCTTTTGAAATCTACTACGAGTGGTGTCACATATCACTTAATATAGCGCCTGCTCATTGTGTATTCACTGTGTCTGGAAAGCTCTTTTATCTATTAAATTTTTCGAGCGTTGTCTTACTTGACTTCGGTGGAAAGAGTATATATAATCATTGCAATATAGCAACAAAACAGCCAAAAGAAAGTCTCTCATATGAGGATTTTCTAGGCTGGGCGCTCTTCACGCTCAAAGACTTTTTGGGCATTTGTGGCCTAAAGCAAACTGGTACAAAATCGGAACTTGTGGCTTGAGCATTTGGGGCATATTAACTAAACTCTCCCAAAAAGTTTACACGAGAGCAAATATCTGCAAGCATTAAGAAGGAATATGAGAAAAGGCTTCAATATCACAAAATCAATACCGACCCAAACAGTTTGCCGGATAATGCCTGGAAGGACAGTGTAGCAGATTGGCCTCAGCTAGATGATGGTAAGTTATTTAGTTATATTTTAAAAGTTAAAGCAGTAGATGTTGATTATATCAGCAAATACAAAGATGAAAAGGCATATTCTTATTGGATGAGTGGATTTGTGGACACAGTGTATGTTACAGAATGTACAATAGCAGCCACCATGATTTTCTTAAAAGGCAATGTATGATAACCCACACAAAGCATGGATCTGTGTCAGAGGTAAGAATGAGCCTAGTGTTTTAACATCATGGTGCACTTGTATAGCTGGCACCGGGGAGGTTAGCAATCATGTAATAGCTATACTTTATAAAATAAACTTTGCTTTTCATTAAAAGTTTATAGCTCCTGCATGCACAAATATGCCACAAGGCTGGAATAGGGGGACAAGAAAAGAGGTAACACCTGGGCAGATAAAAAACTTCACTTTTAGAAGGGACAAAAGGTTGAGGAAGGTCACAAAACGAGATACTGCTTTAGATCAGGTTGTACCTCTATTTATTGAAGACTGCCAGTTAACCAAGAATCAGGTAAGTAAGATTGAAATTTCAACTAGAGGTCAAAACATCAACCAAACATGGTTTGAACAAAGGAAAGGCAGGGTTACTGCATCAAAATTTCATCAAGTGGCCACAAAGAGTGAATCACTGATAAAAAAACGAGGTAAGAAGGTAAATACTTATTCTCCTTTGGTTTTCCGGCTGCTTGGTAAGTCAGCTGATCTATCCCATCATCCACAGATTGAATGGGGTAGAATAAACAAAAAAGATGCTATACAAGCATTTATTTCAGACATAGCCACTCAACATGTAAATGGCATATATGGATTTAAATCATGTGGTTTATTTGTGAAAGCAGCTTACCCCTATCTTGCTGGTTCTCCTGATGGTATATTCCACTGCGATTGTTGTCCCCCACAACTATTGAGATAAAGTGTCCATATAAAGTTAGGGACAAAGATATCTTTGACAAAAATGTTGTCAAGGAGGTAGATTTCTTAGAATCTGCTGAAGGCCAGCTGAGGTTGAAATGTTCACATGAGTACTATTCTCAGGTGCAAGGGCAAATGTGGGTATGTGGCATGCAACAGTCGTATTTTATTGTATGGACCTCTGTTAAAAAACCTCTTTATGAGAAAATTTTATTTGATGCTGCATACTGTGAGTCACTTGTTCACAAGCAAAACATCATGCCTGATTAGCAGATACTAAAACTGGTATATTTAAATTTTAATCAGAACTGTCCATCAATTTTGAACAATATTAATCTGTTTTTAGATTGTCAAAGCAAACTCAAACGAGGATGTTGAAGCTCTCAATCAGGACAGTGCCTTTATTGACATTTTGTCAGATATTGGCAGCACATGCATTTTATCGGTAAAATGTTCACCAGGCCAGTCAGCCAACTTGTTATATTGTACAGTATTCTGCAGACCACTACTTGCAAATGGGAAAATATATTGATCATATTGTCTTAGTTGCATATTATGTACCTAGTACCTGTAGGTATAGGCTTTAACAATTGAATATCTTTTCAATAATATGAAAGAAGTTGAAGTAACTTGCAGGCACTCTCCTCTGCAAAGGCTTTTGAGTCAGGGGTGTGTGGGCAGCTGTATGAGTTGCTTCACCCACCTTGATGCCCCCCCCCCAATATTATCTCTTGTTATCCCATGTTCCCCATATATAACCCTACCGTGCCGTTTTTATTTTAATTTATAGAAGCCTCTGCAGAGACTGACTTGCAGGTGTAATGATTATTCCTCATTCCCACAAACTGTCACTTATGCTTTCTATGTTGTACTGCATAGGAACACATAGAATTTTCTTAATTATTGGTGTACCTGTATGGAAATTATGACAAGTGTACGCACAGTATAGACATTGACAATTGATATATATTGGGTTACCCTTACATGGTTTCTTTTCATCTAGAGAAAGAACAAACATGAAATAGTTCAATGCATACTTGGTCATTTTGTTCTTAACAAAAGGAAAGTGGCTCTAGACCAACTTAAGGAGGGTCTTCAAACCCTTGGCACTTTAGATATGATTGCTAAGCACCCGGATGTTATGGCTCCAATGTTCATTTGGATGGAGAAAGCACTCAATCCTGATTCTGTCAAGAGTAAACTGAGGTTTCCCCCTTTTGATGGAGACCATGTTGTTGAAGAAATGCTACGGTATTTTATTGATGAAAGCAGTGATCAGGGTAAGTAGTGTACCAGTATTCAAAATCATTTTGGTGGTGTTTATTATAATGATCACAGTAAATATAGTGTAATCACTACCGTAGGTTACCATATGTACATATTTGCACTGCATGACAGAGCAAGTTATATGATCATTTCCATCCTGTACCAAGAGTCCTGAACTACAAATTGCCTATTCTATAGAACTTCAACAATTTTTGTGCTTCGTTACTGGGACTTCAAGTCTGGCATGTGTGGATGAAATTAATGTGTATTTTGATGCAGTCGGAGGAGAAATCTTTGCCTCTACTTGCACAAAGTCATTACATTTGCCAGGAGATGTTGCACACTATGATGACTTTAAAATAGCTTTGCAAGTTGCTATCATGGACAATGGTGCATCATTCAATACAATGTAGCTTATGTTCTACATTAATTGACAATCAAACCCTTGGTGTTTTTTTTCTAAAACTGGCTAATATTGTTATAGTTGGGATATAATACTGGATTATGGTTAGATTTGTTATTTTGTTCTACGTTATGTTCTACTGTATGTTCATTGACAATACACAAAATCGTTGTTTCGACTGTGCATCCTACTATGCATTCTGAGGTGATACAGAAGTTGGTTTGGGTTCATAACATTGAGGAGAGAGTGCAGCAATGATTTACATCTTAATTTACATTTTCAAATTTGGTGACAATACAGTTCTAGATTATTGTTAGATATTGAAACCAACTTCTGTCTCACCCTGGGATGCGTAATAGGATGTGCAGTCGAAACTGCGATATTGTGTATCAAACTTTTAGTGTTGCATTTAATGTTAGATTTGTGGATTGAAGCTGCTGGTCATACAGGACTGATCATATATAGTTATAGTTGGTAAAATGGCAAATTATCCCAAAAAGGCAAGAACATCGAGGAGAATGTCAATGCCATAGCTATCACTATAGCGGAGTGGGTTTATCTGTTGCAGGAGTTCTTGGTACCTTTCATCTGAACAAGGTTGATTGGTAACTGGAACTTCCACGACACCATCATCATCAGGATCTAACGGCACAGGGCCATCATAATCAATGCCATATGATTCAAAATCTCCCCAAATTGAGATCATACAAATATAGAGTTAGTGCAATGTTTATTTGTGATACATTTGACTGATAGTCAGAACTTACATCAATGTTTTCAAAGTTATCCATCTCAGTAAACCCATTTCCTTGCATTCTAATTAGACCCAAGATGTACAACTGCATTGGAGTGTGGCTTCCAGCAGTTCTGATACTATGCCGAACGTATCCAGATTTCCAATTTTCCAGGTGCCTATTAAGGCGTGGTACATAAACAAAATGCAGGGCAAACATATGGGTCTCATTTCCTGGATCAATAATGTGTACACCCTCCAAATAACAAAAGAGACTGTAATAAATATACAAAACACCCTCAAACACATCCCTCCACAGTCGTTCAATTCGCTGGTTGTGTACACTTTTTTCAGCAATCATGCTGCCACGACCAGGTCCTCGGAGAGAATGATTAAGCATGTAAAGTGATACATGGACATTTTCACCTCCTTTGTCGGACCTCACCGTTGATGGCAGACCATATTGGGAAACAGCTTGTTCAAACAATTGCACCACAGTCTCTGCATAATTATTTGTACCACATTTCAGGTATACTGGGATTCTTGTGTAACCATCAATGCCACCATGAACTACAATCCTCCATCTAAAATGGGTTTAGGTAATAGTTTGTAAAATCATGATATTGAATACAGGGACACCATTTGCTATCCAACCCCCATATGGGCAAATGATACTCAAATTTCGGAAAGTAGGATTTTTGGTTTCTTACAGAGGACCCCTCAGGAATCATCACCATGATGGTAGGAAATCCTATTTTTTTACTGTTACCCCATGGAGTTGACCATAGGAATCAGTATGATACCATTATCTATAGAGCCATAGGGAGGGGGTACGTCGTCAGGTCAAATAATAATAATAGTCTCCTACGTCACTTCTCATTTGATTCATTACCTACCTAATGAGTTTGTGGTTTCCATCAATATGCCATAATGACAGAGGACCCCTCACGCTGTAAACTGCTCTTGGGGTTATCGACAACCACCTCATCGCCACACCTTCAGGATCGGTACGATGCATTGCCTCTCGCACCCTCGACTGTGTCACGTTAACAGACCTTGCCTTAAGTTGGGAGTATACTCGTCGATAACCAGCATTTGGGAACTCTGCTTGTACTCCTCTAACATGTTCGTCTAATTCACAATCACTCAAAACATCTCCATGTCTGACTGTGATGTCATATTCTCGTAGCCGCCTTTTTATTGTGCTTTTAGACACTCCAAGTGCATGTGCAATATCCGTTAATGAGATATCATATTCTAACATATACACCAACTGTTCCCTGGGAATTACAAACTTCGGTCTCCCTACTGCACTACTTGTGGATTCTACCGTGTTAACAAAATTTCTCGTATTTTCAAAATAAGAATTCAACATAAGCATTGCTGTCGTAATGCTGTCACGAACTCCCGTAAATCGATCACCAATGCGAACTACGTGGCCAAGAATCTGTTCTAACCGAAACATAACAAAGTCCGCCACATGTTCGTCCGGATTAGCCTCTAATCTTCTCCCAAGGTCAAGAAGAGAATGCCTCAGTCCTGTATTCAGTCTCTCTAGATCAAGATCCTCGTCCGCCATTTTCCTGATGGAAAACGACAAGGTTGCAAAACGTTACGCCAAAAGACTATACTTCATGTTATAGATATATATTGAATCGAACCCGTGGGCTCACTTTGAAGTTCGCAATGCACTATCGACGAATTCACCGTATCGATGAATTCGTACAGATGATTCATTTATACGTTCGATGAATACAAACATGACATTTACAAATCTTCGATGAATTCGCAGTATTCACACAGTTTCTTTGGCAAATTCATATATACTAACCATAGACGTCGACAAATTTACGTATATGGTATTTTGACCCCGATAAAGCGCCATACTTTCTGGCATGCATATTCGTGCATGTCTCCAGAGCGCGCTTAATTGCCGATACAGGTTGATGCCGGTTTCATCTGTTTCCACACTGTCTATCGAATTGTCCAAGTAAGTCGACTTTAAGATGGTTTCCACTGCAAGTGGGTATGCATCTTGATGGATCCTCGCGTTCTCTCAAACTGCACCTCCGTTGGTGCCGGATTCATACCGAAAATGACACAAGTAAACTCGTATATACGAAACAAGTGAACTTAGATATCTGGTTCTTTTTCCCCGTTTCAGTCATGCCACAGAACTCGAAAATATGGCAGGTTTGTTTCTTGAATCTCCACTTGCATGTACATTTCTTTTATGTCACAAGCTAACGCCGAAATCGGAGTTGAACATTGAAGAGTTCTCTCAGTAACTTTGGTCGCGAATGAATGACATTGTTTAAGGTTAGTCTGTCTGTTTTGGCCGAACAATCGAAAACAATGCGAACCTTCGTCCGTTACCTTATCCATGTGGATGATTGGGAAATATGGCAGATATCATACTTCAGGAGGAACCGTTTCATCTTTTCCCACTTTGCGTAAATAACCTTTCTCTACATACAACTCAATTGTATGTTGATACTCTTTTTTTACGATTTCATCATTTGCCAGCTTGCGCTCTGTGCTAGTGAGTCATGCCGTTGCATAGTCACCCGTTCCGAACGTTATTACTAATATACCATTACTATTATTACAGTCTTTTTGGCATTAAGGTATTGGGTTATTAACACAAAGCCAACCCATAGCCCGCATTTCCCGCATGTAGGTGTACATGAATCTGAATTCAAAATGGTGGCCTATTTTACATGTTTTGCATCACTTAACTAAGATGTTCTTTCAACCTGGCAAAAGAAAAGGAAACCTGGCATTCGCATATTTGATACCGCAAAAAAGAAGTTGGAGATTGTACCTTTTGCTTTTATTTCCGGCAACAATCCGCCCAGTACCATCGGTACGGGTGATGTTAGCGGCGTAGTCGAAGAATCAGATATCGATGATATTGGTGAAGACATACCATCACCTTGCACATCAAATTTAAGGTTGTACGGAAGTCGAAAATCAAAGTTGTGCAGCAACTGGGCCAATGTCCACACCAAAATTATGAGGACAGCACTTTTTATTCAAGGTTTCATGCCGCAGCAATGTACCTCGCTTGATTGCATGAATGCAGTTGACACACGTTACCATGATTGCCAATTTGGTGCATATTACTGTTTGGAATGCTGTAACAAAGTGCATAAACGCCAATTTCAATTGCACCATTCTGAAATTTATTTGGTATGTGATCATTGATGTTCTAGTTCAGTCACTTCAGTGATACCTGACCATCCACTTCTGAGTTCTCATCGACTTTAATAGTTAATTAACTTTTAGTTTTATATATAGTGCAAATTTAATGACTTTAAAAAACTCACTCATGCATGTTTTCCAAATTGCACTTGAAATCATACTATTACCTATACATATTGTATGTTTATTAATACATAGTAATAGTTATTATACTGTACGTATATCAAATATTTAAGAATCCTTGATTTTGGTATTATATGTAGCATGGTGCCTGGATCCAATACAATGTTCCAGAACGCATATCTTGCAACCTGTTCCATGTTTGTAGCGGTAAATACCAAAGGGCAAATACTGTGATAGACAATAAAGGTATGTTAATATTTTGAATATTATTGAGGCTTGGATTGCCCTAAATGTTAACTAGTGCAGTATTATATGTATTACAACTATATATGCAGTATTAATGGACAGAGTACACAATCAAATATTGGCCATATATTATAAATCTAAATGGCTGATAAGCATTACTCTTATACGAGATTACAGGCTATAGTGGATACTAAACTGTACAAAGTATTTCTTGAAGGCTGTGAACATGAACTTGAATATGAATACTGTACATGCTACACTGTCCCAGAGACTCTACTTTTCTATGGACTTTGGCCAGCTTCTCCTGTCGAGCCCACATTGGCATTTACTATCCACCTGATGAAACTCACTCTTGGATTGCTTATGGAATGCCAAGTATCTTTGTATGACATATCCAATCCTATGCAATTTTTCAAGCATCCTCTGCTAAAGGTATAAATATGTACCTATAATTATAAGCAGCTTACCATGTGTATTTTTCATATTTTCTTATTCGCAAGGGTAGCTGTTTACGCACCAGCCATAAAGCAACATGCTTTTGGCTCATATGGCAAGCAAAGTTAACAATATTGCCATTTTTTATCTAACCATGTCTTGTGATAATGCATTATGCTGTCAACTAGTAATTTTATTTTGATAGAAGAAGAAGTTTTATGAACAATTTCTAGATTCCTTTGAAGAGTTAAGGTCAATAGTATTATAATATTATAGTCAATTTACTATATATTTTTATAATATTACACATTACATGTACACTACCAAAAAGTTGTTGTCTTGCCAACATCTCATCATTTACCTCTCAGTCGTCTGGAATCCTGAATTTATTCTTAAGGTATACTACTACAGTCCAATTGATAGATATCACACATCATGTTTGGTGGGCCTATGAACTTTGCTATCATTAGTTGTGAGCCAATTGCAGCAGTGCATTTTAAGACACACAAGCAGTCATTAGACCAAAAAAAGCCATATATTTGTATTCTGTGCAACTTTTAAAATCTATTGCAGTTACTGCAGTATATACTGTAAATTATCAACTATTATATAAGCGTTTGTGCTGCATAAATGAAAGCCCCTAGGTCCCAATGCATGACTGCTGTACATTATGTATCTGTGGCATAATTATCTGATCTATTGGTCTTATATTCTATTGTACTGTGTAGTGTGTAGTGTGTACAGACGTTAGGTGAACAAATAAAATTTACGTTACACATGAACAGAACACATTCACTGAAAATCTGGAATGATTATGGAACTGCCATGTTATACAGGTGCCACTTTAGATCAACTGCATTCTATGATAATGAGAAGGAATGTGCTCTGCCAGATAAATTAAATTGCCCTGCATGTCCCCAGGTAAAAATTTCATTATGTGAGTGTGGTGTAACAATCCAGATATGAATACTGTACTGTTTCTGTCTGTTTTTCTATTCCATCGATTGTATAGTTCCATCAGTTCATATAGTTCATAATTTGGTTTAAAGAATTTTATCTTTTTGGTTTGAATTTTATTTTTGTGCCCATTATTACTGTGTTGCTCAAATATGTAGCATTTATACTAGAACTCTTATTTACTTTTCCTGTCAAATATATTTAATTTATTTTCTTTCATTGTAGACTGGTGGAAAACTCTTCATTTCATTGGATGCTTGCTTTGGGTTACCTCAAAAAAAATAATCCGGAAACAGCTATAGGCATACTCTAACTGCAAATATGTATTTCTGCAACCAGGTGTGTTGATGATTTTTTGAAATCTTACCCTCAACGTTCTTCTGCTCATTCAAAGACCGAAAAGTTAAATTAAACCTTTTCTACTTATTACAGTACAGTGCAGTGTGGTGAGGTATAGTACAGTAGAAGTTCTTTTTTCTTAGGAATGTAGTGACTTGAAGGCAGGTTCTGAGATTTCATTGAAGAATCGGTATGGTGCTCTTGATGAGACTGTAGTGTGTGGACTTGCATGCAAGCATGGTGTTGCTTTGGAGTTTTTTAATTTGAACAGAGGAGAAAGGTTATTCTACATTTGACTAAATATATCAATTATCAAAAATCGTTATTTTTTATGTTGCAGCTGTAGTTTTGCAATTGTTGTTGTTGTCATCTTAATAGTTTGTTGTCTTTGTCATTGTGGCCATGTTGTAGTAACACTGTAGTATGATTGTACTGTATTCTTGTACTTACCATGTTACTGTTTTTCACCTGTCTAAAATTTACATTACGTCTATTTCGTTAGACTTGGGTACGCAGTGTTTTTGCTGAACAGTTTTCTATCCAAAATTGATGATAGCGTTTTGATACATTTTATGTATGACATCTGCTGTTTGCTTGAAAGTCATCTAAAGGTGATAACTCGTTTGTCAAATTGAAAGTTATCAAAATTAATAAATATACCTGATAAAGAATAACTTTACATATTAAGTGACCTTAATTTTTAGAAGCAAAATAATGTTGAATTCTTGGCAAACTGAAACTGGCGTGCCCACAATTCCATGTCTATGGTCATGGTGCAAAGTGTCAGGTAAACTAATACTGTGCTAGGTACTTTAAACTTACCTCCATTCAACTACAGTACTGGTAAGAGTAAATGAGTTACTTTAAATACGCTATGTCGTGTGTATATGCTACTTTCAGCTGCTATACAGGGTGTATCAAAAAAATGTCCCAAATGTAAAATTTCCGTTTTGCAGGATATTTTGCAGAATTTGGCAAATTTTTGTGTTCCTAGAGATAGTTAAGACTTATCTGGTATATCTAGGCATAGTTTGGTTTTTCATTAACAAAATTATGTTACCGGGGGGGTGTTTCTTTTCACTGATATTTAGAGGGCTTGCGCACGAAAATGTGAAGCTGAAATTGAGATATTATTTAGCTGTCTAAAAGTAGGAAAGCTTTTTAATAAACTGTCAAAGTTTCAGGAAAAATAATGCAAACTGGGAGCAACGCGCGACCCCTAAAAGTGACAAATATTTCATTGCGCGCAGTGGATTAAATGCATGGTTGATTTTA